CACTAAAGAGAAATGATTTCCTGCTTTCTGTTCGTGCTGCCCACGAGCTGAGCCTTGTTGTAATGGACCAGAACGGTCTGGCATGAAACCTTACGAATGCACTTGTAAAGGAAATGCATAAATTATTAGGCTCTGGTATTGCAACACGAGCCCGTACCGTTACTGCTTGAAGCTGTTGCACGGCTTAAAGCATATCGCGACATCGTGCTTTGAGGCAAAAACTATTAGGTTGTCTCATAAATAGTGTCGCTTTTTTTCAACCAAAAAATTTTCATCTAAATCCCATGCTTTTACATCGTGTCATATACCATTCGAAAGAGAATTGTCTGCTCTACAAGATGCTATGTTCCTCTTCCACTCTGTTCCAGGTTTTCAATTTTAGGCCTGCGAAATGGGAGGTCCAGCCGACAAAAATTGACCAAACCGACAACTATCTCTAACTTTATCTTCCCTTGGGAGAAATCAATCAATGATGTACCCTCTACTTATACATGACCTCTTCTAACATTACACTATTAGGTTTCCCAACAAGTCGCGTCGTTCCATTTCCAGACCTGGTTTTTCAACCAGAACTCGACGGTCGAGCACCATTACCTGAGATCTAGGTCGAAATTTTTTTATAGCCGAGACATTGAAAAACTAGTAGAATTTAAGAACAAGTCATGACTAAGTTAGGAATGTACGCCTGGTTGATTTTCTCATCTTCTCAGGGATAATTTTTTCAAAGAAATGCGGTCACTTTCGTGGATAAAGCACCTTATTCCTAAACACCTAAAATTCGAACTAATTCCCAACAAACATAAAAACAAAACAAATGAGCGAATAGAGCAAGAAGTGCTCACAAAAGGAACACCACTTGATATGAAACAATGGCGTTTACGAGGAACAATTTCAATTTGAAAATTGCTATGGCTTATCGGTCAGCCAATTCGAAAAGAAACACGGCAAACCTTTTTCGGCAACCTAAGAGTGGAATGTTCAGAAGAGGTCATGAGTAAGTAGAGGGTACATCATTGATTGATTTCTCCCAAGGGAAATAAAGTTAGAGCTAGTTGTCGGTTTGGTCAATTTTTGTCGGCTGGACCTCCCATTTCGCAGGCCTAAAATTTGAAAACCCTGGAACAGAGGTGGAAGTGGAACATAGCATTTTGTAGAGCAGATTCTCTTTCGAATGGTATATGACACGATGTAAAAGCATGGGGATTTAGATGAAAATTTTTTGGTTGAAAAAAAGCGACACTGTTTATGAGACAACCTAATAATTGTATCAACAAATTTTACGAAGATGTACAAACAAGTTTTCAGCGCTATATGGCGCCTGAATCTCGGCCCACAGAAGCTAGTGCTTCCTTCCACTATGCTTTGGACAGACATACAATCCTTGACATCATCGAATGCAATGGTGATTATGACACCTTCAAGAACTGCGTTCTGCCCAGCATCTCGGCGGAAGATCGTGGGTATCCTGACTACATTGACGATGAAGGAAATGTGGACAAAATCAAGCGCGATAAACTTATATTGGAATCTATCAATGCCATTGAACGGTTCTGTTCCTTACCTGTATTGTACAAGTTTTTCTAATTTTATATCTTCATTGCTGGAGCGGTTGAAACACTCAAAACGTGGCCACGCAAGATAAAACAAGTGTCACGTTCTACAAAACGCTGCTCGACAACGGCGAAGATCTGAGGATTCCATCCGACGTGAGGGAGGTGAGATAATAATCATGTCCTGTTGACTGCGTAATAATATTTTCATTTATAGGCCATAAAATGCATACTCGTTATCCCGGCCAGCAATGCTGACCCAGAGCGGAGCTTTTCGCAGGCGAATATGCTTACAAGGGCAGAGGAGGGAATCGAGGCAACATGAAGTTTTATTCATTAAATAGAAGGAATTTCCAAATTTTTGCGTAAACCAATACATCATTTTAATCGTAAAGATTTCTACTTTCAGAAACCTACCAAGTTTTTTTCGATCTCTCAATTTTCCTTACCTTATAATCTGAAAAACTAAACCTTGTAGCAATTACGTTGCAATCCAAACCCCTCCATTCAGAAGGTTATATTTTTCTTCAGAAGCGGTCTCATGGAACCGGACACCAAAATTTTAAAAATTCAAATAGTTTTCTTCCTAAAAAGTATTTGAAATGTTGCGAATGTTCAATATTTCAAAAAATCGTCCCGTTGTTCCGTTTTTTGTGCACATTTTCGATTCAAACATTCATAACTTTCTTCATAATCAACTTTTTGCAGATGTCTAAGGCTAATTAGAAACTAGAAGATTAGCGCTTTCAACAAGCACCTGACTTTTTCCAACGATCACTCTCTCAAAAATAGTCCCGTTGTTCCGTTTTTGGGGGGTTTGTGGTCCGATTTTTGAGAAGGCGCGAGTTTTCGACATTCAAACGTTCATAACTTTCTTCATAATCAACTTTTTGCAGATGTCTAAGGCTAATTAGAAACTAGAAGATTAGAGCTTTCGAATAAGTGCTAAAACTTTTGAAATAATCACTCGCTCAAAAAATAGTCCCGTTGTTCCGTTTTTTCCACCTTGATTTTTTTCAAGCCATTTTCCTGGACCGCGACTATGCAGTCTTCAAAGGCCCATAACTTCCTTCAAAATTAATGTGATGAGAAGCGGTAAAGATGTTAGAATCCACTCGAAGAGTACTTCATAACAAGTGTGAAATTTTCCTGAAATTCTTTCTTCTGCCTCAATTTTCCTAAGGGTCTCTAGAACTCAATTCAGCAAATTCGCTACACTTTGTTCCGCTTAGATTTGATTTGAAAGCATCGAAATTCTCTTCAGGAAGTTTGTCTGCTTACGGCCGCTGACAGAGAAGGCGTTTTTATGGGAAAACGCCTGCTCGGGTATACGCCGTGCACCTGTCTGTGGGCAGAAGTCGCACTCGCATTTGAAAGTCCTCCATTTTCCTGAAGAAGGTGTTAGTATCGTGATTGAGTTGCATTGTACTGTTATATGGTACTCTTGTTTCACTTCCCCATGAACTGCTCTACACTTTGTTCTCCTTGGGATTTCAGGAATGTTCGATCATCGAAGACAGACCATGTTTTTGCACTACGCTGTAACAAAGTTTTTGGCTATTGTAATCTTGATCTATGCTGTCGAGCGAAAGCGCCGTCCGTGTATTAAGGATAATAATGGCTGATAGTGAGACTTATAATGCTCTGCATGCTCTAATGCTCCCATGGAGCTCTTGTCTGTGTGACTCTCCGACAGCGTGCAGAGCTCCTGGAGAACATTAGAGGTGAAAGTGCACTCCCGGACACTGCACTTTTCAAGCCGTCTTGCCCGTCTCTCTGGATACGACCCCTCCCTTTCGTTCGGCAAATACGACCCCTCGTTGTTCTTTGCGCCACAGGCGTTAACCCTGGCGTAACAGAGGGGAATTCTGAATTTCCAAAAGAATTAATACGATAAAGACGATCGACGTTTTTTTCCTGGTAGCCGGATCCTAGAGGAGCGAAGTAAATGAGACAACAACTCATTTGTCAATCCTTCTATTTTATGGACCTGTAATCTGTTCTGTCGTTTTGCATGTGTGTCTGTACACTCTGTTGCAAAACTAACCCAAATTTTGGGTTTCTGAATTTGCAAAAATCCGAGCGCAAAAACGGGTAGTGCCATTCGATTAAGCGTATAAAGAAACCCCCACAAGAAAATCTCCAAGCAGTTTTATCAACTTTCAGAAATCTAGGGTCAATAATCGAAAAAAGGGCCGTTGCATACTTTACGACATAGCAGAAATTTCGACAATTTTTTCGCTTCAGAAAAAAGTTTCCACCACACATCACAATCATAACAGAACATGGTTGTAGGCAAGT